CATTCAACATGTATGCTTCATTCATGCATCATTGCATGACATTATATTTTGGCATGACCCAGAAAGAAAATATGGGGTTGCATAAAATTTTTAGGAGTTACACTATTAGAAGAAAAACTCATTTTCGACGATAGGTTCAGTAACAAAGAAGTTTATGCTTCTTAAGAAACTAATTAACCTAAGTTAAATCTTCAAAAAAGTCATAATATTTTGGCCAACTTTACAAAAAATCTTATATATTATTTTGTTAACAAAAAAGTCTTGGATATCGGATATTTTTTTTTAAATCAACAATTTTCTACTGGTAAAATATTTTTTTACCAGGTTACCTCTAAAAAATTTCTATTTTTTGGCTTAGTTTATGAAAAAATCCTAATTTTTTTACTTCAACTCTTTTACCATTTCACTAAAAATCTGAAAATTTCCTGGATCAAGTTATGAATAGAAATAAACGTCATTAAGCTCTATAAAATAATGATCAGAGTCCTTTACAACTAATTATTTGCGACAAAACAATGACGTTAATCTCATTTTGAACTCATCATCGTCTATATAATCCATTTCTCACACAAATTTATTTTACAAGTATTATAGAATATTCAAATTATATATTGAACACCTTATTACAATCTATTTAAAAGTAAGTTAATGGAAAACCAATAGTTATGTTCATATAAGAAACTATTGACTGATGAAAAACCAATCAATACAATAATAGGTTATGTGAGACTGTACGAAGTAAAATCGAGAAAAAAAATTAACCGATCAAGTCTTCTAACAAGATAATCCAAAAAACTAAAAATGAATCATGAACCGAATTAAATTTTACAATCAATATTATATAAATATCATGAAGTTTGTATTCAATCTGAAGAAGTGAATCAATTTGATGTTGAAACGAGAACAACCAGATAACAAAATTAATTTGATTTAGAGCTTGAAATTGAGCTTCGATGAACAGTAACAGATCAAACTATATAGATGAGCTACAACCCAAATAAGTCAAAATGTATTTTACCTACGTGTCATAAATAGGTATTTTAAGACATCAAGTCATCGTCTATAGAAATCTTTGCATCCAACGGTTTAAAATAAAATTGTGTTTTAGATGACATACCAATATATAACATTGTGATTTTATACTATGTCAAGTGATACAATGATGAACTTGCTCTCGAAGCAGTATGAAAGATGACAATGTCCTTTCACATTTACATCATAGAAAATAGTCTTGTAAGTTTAATAAATCGTTAGAACAATGCAATTTTTTAGAACTAAGAAATTTTCAAATTTTTTATGGAAGATTAAAAGAGTTGAAATAAAATAAAAATTTAGGATTTTTTTATAAGCTGAATCAAAATAATAAGATTTTTATACATATAACCGGATAAAAAATAGTTTACTGATAAAAAAAAAAAAGGATTGATTTGAATTATTTTCGGGGTAATCTAAATTTTTTTGTTAACAAAAAAAAAATTAATACTTTCCCGAAACAATTTCTAAACCAGCAACAACAAAGATAGGCAAGACTGCCTGATTTGTGGGTGATAATATACGCCAAAAACAACTACGTAATCGACGTAATCTGCAAAGCATCCAAAACCGGTATTTTTATTTATTTTTAAAGGTCAACAATAATATTATGATTTTTTTGAATGAATGTAACCTTGATGTATGTGTCCCTTTCGATAACAAATACAAAATATATTGACTGTTTTTGTATCTTGTCTCAAAATAATTACATTTTAAATTTATGTAAAACTGTTTCTGAAATTAACATTTTAATATCTATGTAAATCATGTAGTTTAATACATGAACCTCAATACCCACTTTCATATATGACCTTATTTATTTATTGTAAACCTTCTTAAACACCATTTAACATTGTTTTTAATTTTTTTTAGAATGACTAACTCATCTACCAAATAATCCTATTCATAAATCTATTATGAGAGTTAACCATTGACCACTTGCAGAATGAACATCTATAATACATTTGATATCGCTAGCCTACCATTCTTTTGGTTTTCAAAATTATACTTATTTGCATAAAGTTAACTAAAGATGTACATATATTTTTAGCGCTAAAGATACTACACAAATACAAGTTAAAAGAAAGATGTTAAATCAAAATTAGCACTACTACCTTCTCACATGAAGGGCACCCTTAAGTATACCTTGCAATAAACACCGATTACTTTTTATAAAATATAAGACGACGATCTCGTTTTTTTCATGATTTATCATCGTACTTTAATATTAATCGTAAACGTGTCAACGTTATATTCATATATCCAAAGTAACATTGATAAACATGTTAATTAGTAGTCTACTTACATGGCTTATGAGTTATGAGGTGTCTTGGATTTTCTTCTTTAATTTAATAAAAATATGTACTTTTGAATATTTTGTTTAGTTGTATTTATTTAAAAGATAAAAAATAAAATATATAAAGATCATTATATTTTTAATATTTTTGTCGTTTAATTGTTATATTTTAGTATTGTCAATAAAAATCGTTCAAAACTGATAATTTTTTCTATGTCCAACCAATCTAATCCGTTATATTAGTTCAAAATATTTACAATACATAATTTTATCAAATTAAAGAGTTTTAGTGAAAAATTTGATACTAAGTAATCTTTATAAAGTTTTATATTATAACATTTTTAACATGCTATAACAAAATATAACGATCAATATAAAAATAACAAAAATTAATTGATTCTAATGATAAAACTGAAATATAATAATTAAATATAATAATATTTATGTGTTTCCCCAACCATAATTAAATAAATCATAAATATGTGTATCTTCATTGACAATAAATGATAAAAGCATCACTTCCACATGAATACAACCTACTTTTTATGATGATAACATTTTCAAGGGTAAATTACACCATTCGTCCCTCGTGCACACGCCAGAAAGCGTGTTTAGTCCCTATTTTCAAAAATTAACTCGGACCGTCCCTTATTATTTTAAAACCTGCACGCTTCGTCCCTCGTTAATTTAAATTTGCACGTTGTATCCCTTTCCAACTATAAAATGACTATATTGCCCTTAATATTTTATTATTACATTAATCATAAATTATTTTATATTAAAAAGAAATAGAAAAAGAAATTAAATACCCTAACCCAGCCTTCCCGTTCCCTTTCCCCCTTTCCTTCTACATTCCTTCTGCCTCCTTCGTTTCTAGGTTACTAAACCCCACCATCACTTCATCAGATTCATCTTTTGCCGAGGAAGATCGCCTCAACGTATCATCTCTTCCGGCGAGCATCAAGACACCGCAAATGAAGAATCGTCGATTGCTCCCTCTTTCTTCTCCGGTCTCAATCAAGAACTGTCAGACTCTTTCTTTCTTCTTTGTTCGAATCGGAGGCAGAGGCGGCCAGTATCTCCGGCGACATGGTTACGGAGGGAAGAGGGGCTGAAGACCATTTTAAAATTGTTCAAATCGGCACCAAGTGAAGATCTTACAGATATGATAAAATCTGAACGCTAGTTTCTTTCTTTCTTTTCTGTTTGTTTTATAAATTCCCAAACTTCAAACTCATAAAGATGCAGGGGGTGGTTTTCCATTTCTTTCTCTCATCATTGATTTCGATTTTGGAATTTATGGTGTGGATCTCAGCACCAATTTTGATATGTATGCGTTTACTGGAGCTCTAGGGCTAGAACTCATGTGAAGCTACCAGACCACCATATTGAACGAAGCTCTAGGTTCGAATCTGAGAGGGTTTCAAATAAAATGTAAGATATATTACTGGATTGTGGTCTAGAGGTGATTAGTGGTGTCGGAATAGGCATACGGTGGTATTGTCGAAATAGGTAAGAGGTGGTGATGACAGAATAAGAGAAGGAAACAAAGGGTGAAAAGAAGGAGAGTATGTGAGGTGGTGGGACCCACTGAGATGGTAGGGTGGAAAGTGGTAGTGCGGAGGTGGTGGCGGTGATAAGCGGTGGTGCCGGAGGTGCCGACGGTTATATGCAGTGGTTTATGGAAAATCTTGAGATGGGGAAATGAAAATAGATGGGTAGAGATATTTTTTATTTTTATTTTTAATTTAAAACTGATAAATAAACAAAATAAAATGAAAAAAATTAATTATTAAGGGTAAAAAAGTCATTTCATGTCAATAGGGACTAAGCGTGTAAGGAAAAACAGAAAGAGGGACGGTCCGAGTTAATTTTTGAAAATAGGGACTAAACACACTTTCTGGCATGTGCACGAGGGACGAATGGTGTAATTTACCCCATTTTCAAATATGAGCAATATTTAAATTTCTAGATATATATATATATATATATTTTTTATGAAAACCATTGTTGAGGCTTTGAGGTGAAACTAACCCCGAAATCTAAGATGAGGGGTGGAAATGAAAATATCTGTTGATTCGAGTCATACCGAGTCGACTCACAAATCATTTAACAGAGTCACATGCATATCAATGGGGTCCAATCAAACACATTGAAAGGAACCTTCCCCTCGCTCCCTTTACATAATTCACTCAAACTCAAACTCTCTCACTCATTCCAAAGCATCAGAATCCAGATCCATCTTTCTTCTCTATAGTTCCAATCTACACCGCCTGTAAGTTGTAATTCGTTTCTCTTATGCAATAATCTCGATTTCCAAATCATGTAAGGTGCAGAATGGATCAAACCTGGTTCGAGACGACAATGGGGAGGAGAATTCCGGTGAGGGCTTGGTTAGGGTTACAAAAATCTATAGTATTACTCGTGGGTGGAAATCACACCTCCTCCAGGTTTTGCACTCGCTAGATTTGTTCTTTTTTTAAACTTCGGTTGTTCAATTTCAATTTCTACTCTTGAATCTCTAGAGTTTACAAGTTACAAACGTTTTTACTTCAATCTGCTACGATTGTCAACAAACCGTGTTGAATTGCGAAATTCTGAAATGGATTTTAAGGTTCTGAAATGGCAGATCCTACGAGGGACTCTCGCCTGGCGTTTGATTCTCAGGGCCATGTTCTTCGTGTTAGCCATGGTTCTTCTCTCACTCACTCGTATCACCAACGAGATTCGAACAAACGAGCCAATCCTGCTAAATTTCGATAAATGTTCGTTAAACATCGGCTCAATCGCGAACGCACAACTCAAATCCTCTGATAAAGTCTCCATTCCGTGTGTGGATGGAATGAATCTGACTGTTAGTGTGATCAAAGAGCTGATGAACAAGGAAATGCTAAACATGGAAGCAAAATCCTTATGTGTAGGAGATGGAGCAGATTCAGTCGCTTTCACATTGCGAGAACTCGGATTCTCCAATGCAATTGGTGTTCACAGGAACCCTCTTCTATCCCTTCTACAGAAACAATTCCAACACAAACTAGACTTCGATTCCAATTCTTTCGACTTTGTGTTCTCTAGAACCCTAAACAGGGTCTCCGTTCCAGCTCTTCTTGTGCTAGAAATCGAACGCGTATTACGCCCTGGTGGTGTTGGCGCCATGCTCGTAGGCTCCTCCACCTTCCGTATGCTCAATCTAGTAAGATCTGCAACTCCAATTTCATTACTCTTAAGATCTTCCGAGATTCTTCACGTTTGTGGGATAGATCCCTTCACCCTAATCGTGTTCAAGAAACAATTAGACAGTGTCACCTTCTTTGAAAACTACAAGCTTCCTTCCGAATGTCCATCAATCTCAAAAAACAAACCTTTTATGCAATACATCGAGCCTCTTTCTGATCCAAATCTTTCATACTTACCCACATCTGTAAACATTTCATCAAGAAACAGGCTGATTAACATCAACATGGGGGGACACAAATTCGACCCACATTACCCAATCCATCCTGATTCTTTCAATGTTTATGTGGTTGATCACGACATATCTGCTCTCATCTCCCATGTGAAAAAACCTGGTGTAACATTCGTATACCACCCGGGTCTTACTGAAGAAGATAAAACAATTCCTAGTTTGATGTCTGCTGATTATCTTGAAGCTCCATTGCATGAAGAAGAGTTTGAATTCATTGATTGGTTTAAAGAAACAGCAAAAGATGGAGACTTTGTTGTTCTTTCGATGAATTCAGGAGTGGCCCAATTGAAGGTATTATTTGAGTTGTTTGAAAGTGGTGCCATTTGTCATGTTGATGAGCTGTTTTTGAGATGTGATGATGGTGTTGATTGTAGAAGTGGGTATTGTAAAGACTGTATGAGTCTTTATAATGGTCTGAGAAATGTTGGTGTGTTTGTGCACCGAATGTTGGATGAGTGAATGGGTAAGGTAGTAGTTGTGTGGGGTCAATAAGTCAGAGGTTAATAAGTACTATGTTGTATTGTTGTGAGAACCTCTGTGTCTGTTTGTGTTTGTGTTTGTAATTTTGTTTGGAGGACATGAATGTGTTTCATTTGTGTAATGGTTTATGTTTAGAAGTTATGTGTGTTTCTTTTAGTCTCTCATTGTTGCTTGATTAAAAGTTTATAAATGATTTGTATCTAAATTTATGATCTTACTTAAAGAAAGAGATATTTTGTTAAAAAAACAGGGTTAAGAATGCTTTATGATCTTACTTAAAGAAAGAGATATTTTGTTAAAAAAAACGGGGTTAAGAATGCTTGGATTATTGAGAGTCGTGAATTACACTTTTAGATTAAAACATTTCGATGATAGACTCGAAATCTCTAATCGGATAAAACTCAGTATGAGATCAAGAACTGAGAATGATGAATGTTATGTCTTGAATTGTACCAAAATAATGATTAAAAACGTGTATCAAGGAAAATCCATTTTTGGTTCAAAAGGGACGTTTATTTTGATGAATAAATAGAAATATTACTTTGTCATTTATATAAACTATTTATCCAATCATTCACTTGACTTTCTGGGTTATCGTTCAAGCGTGCGGCTAAAGCTTTCAATGGTATGCAGTCAAATGCTAGAAAATGCATTTGTAATTGAAAATATATCAACCAGTGTACAAAAAACTGACGAAAAACAGTCATAAAACAGTTTGATAACTATTAAAAAACTGCCACTAAACTGGGTTTATAATTAAGATTTTCATAAACCAGGTTGCCACCCCTTGGATCCCGCTACCACGGGCGCTGCTCCTAAACCCCCGTCAGGAATCCCCTAAATAACAGTGTACTTTAAATCTAAATAATCTCGAACAAGTATGCACTCCGCACCACCGTTATTTGTTCAATATTTATTAAGATTATATTGGTCAACAAGTTAATCTCATTAAACTTAAATAACATTGATGATACAAATCATCAACATCTTTTTGGTTTTTAAAAAAGATCATTGATATTTGATCCTGCCAAAAACAGGTTTGAGTTTGTGTGAAATATTTTTTCTAAATAATTATTTATATGGTTATCTTGATACATTAACTGTTTTGCGGATATTCCGCTAAACGGTTAAGGTGATCAATGAAATTTGTGACAATATATTTTTCGTAATGTAAAATTAAACAAGTTAACATAGATGCATCAAATATATGGATTAGAAAAACAACGTAGATTCATTTATTAATAAGTTCATATACATATTACCAAAATGAAAAACACAAATATAGGTATATCATCATCCATTTTTGCAACGTCTGGTGAGCTGTAAGGGATATTTTAAGAACAATGTTAGAAATTCAGATAAATATAGGTATATCACATCCATTTTTGCAACATGTTTTCACATATATCTGAGGATCAGGATAAAAATAGGTGTATGATAGAGCCGATGATACTTTGCTGGAATCAGAAGTTCGGCTCGACAAAGTAGATATGCGTGATGAAGAAGAACCGTTGGAAATAGAAATATAAGAAGGTGGACGGAAGGTGGTGTATTGACATATTCCTTTGTTGGTAATTATTCTACAAGTTTTGAACATATGTATCATCGTGTCTTGATCAAGAAATAACTAACACGTAACTTTGGTTAGTCAATATTAATATCCATTCAACGTTATATTTACCCAAAAAAATGTCCCACATGAACTCTCCTTGATAATTTGGAGTTTAAATTAATGATGAGATACGATACAGACAGTTGCATGAGAACGAACGCTTAATATATAATCTCGTGTATTACACAAGTTATTCGTGGTTTGCATTAACAGTTGTATGGGAAACAAACACTCAAATAAATAACCTCGTGTGCAACACAAATGATTAATGTGTATATGTCATTTTAAAGCACGCTAATGTGTTAAATGTTGTGTGATGTGGTACCTACAAAGTGTTTGCAAGGTTTTTCCTTTTCATTTTCTAGTCCTGAGAAAGCAAGTTTATTTCTTCTTTTTCTGAATGATTTTTTCATCTTTAGCAGGCTACCAAAGTAAGGATGACGTTGATAAGAAATGGTGAACGTAATTCCTAGATCCTAAATCCATTTCATGATGTTGGCCTCAGTCATAAGTGTGGAGAATTTCCACTGATTAATACTTGATAAAATGTTTGCTTGTATGTGAGGCTTAGAAGAAGTCAACCATAGAGACGTCAAAAAGTACAAACAAACTATTACACATGTGGAAGGTATCATAAAAGATATCGAGAAAAATAAGAAGTTAGTTACTAGCGTGAAAAAAGAAATTAAGGTTGTAGGAAAAAAATGATATATAATGCCCATATAGAAATTTTCCGACTGCTCAAATACTTCCACCACCGTCATAAAAAGGAAATTCAAAATCCATGACAATCACATACGAAACACCGTTATGAAAACTCTCCAACTTGCTCAAATACTTTCTAACAATTATTTTAAAATCCCACTAAATATATATATATATATATATTTTAAATATAAACATACAATGTCTACTGATCTCATTACATGATCCCAATAAATCTATGGCAATTGCGTCCGAAAAGCCATAATAGTGATATCGAGCTGACCATCTAAATGCACTATCGATTGGTGGTTCGATATTCAAACGCTCTAAAAACATATAAAGAAAAATACCATAATCTTCTAAGGGATCACGTGTTAGCCTCCCAAATATGGACCTTGAAACTCAATGTGGAGACATGATCAATGCCTCATGGAGACAATGCACTGTCGACTCTAACAAACTAAGCACATACTCTTAGAGTGCTAGAAATTCCGTTTGCAATCTCATACTAATGAATCCTTGATATTGTCATGTATTGTTAGAGTCCAAAAAATATAAATTCAACTCTTTTAGCAACCAATGAGTTTTTCGTATATATTGTCACTAGGTGTGAGACCCGTGTATTATACGGGTTGATTAATATATAAAATATCATGTGAAAAAAAATAATTTAAAATAACCACAAAATAACATGTGACCAAATAAATGAGATTGTAACTCATGACAAAAAAAAAATTATTTATTAGGATATATATATATATATATATATATATATATATATATATATATATATATATATATATATATATATATATATATATTAAGCTCCAAAATCTATATACAACTTTAACTTTTATGTTATACAAAATTTTAAATTTTAGAGTTGTTTATGATATTTATTAAAAATATAGTCATTTTATAATATATATTATGAAGAGTTGTTATTTTAGAATTTTCTTGTTTGAAAATGATAAACTTTATAAAAACTCAACTAGGCATGATATTCCTATATAAATAATTTGATTTAACCCCGAAAATTTAAAAAATATCATGTCTAAAGAAAGCAAGAATTAAAAAATTGCAACAAAATAGCTATTGATAAACTAAAAAATTAAATAAATAAAGTTAAAAACTCGATTTAATGATAGTTTTTATAACAATGATAAAAAAAATCAGATAAATAATAGATAATCGAACGTTTAACGGATACGTCTAACTAATTTTTATTTGAACATGTTTCAAAAAATAACATTTAAGGATCTAAATTATAATTTATTAACCAAAATATGTTATCATCTATCTAAAATAATCATAACATATTATTATTTATAAATGGATTTATAAATTTAAATTCTCACCAATTAATAGACGGTCTTTGCCATTTATTATCATATTTATTATATTTAATACTTTATATATATATATATATATATATATATATATATATATATATATATATATATATATATATATATTAGGTGACATTTTAATTTATGAAAATTGAAAAAAAAATCATAAATTGACATGTGAATATTATTTATTTAGAAAATACCATAAAATGACATGTGTCAACACTTATAAGACACGTGAAAATACGTGTACTCAATCAATCTCCTACGATGGCGGTGGAGGGTTTGTAACTCCAGCAAAATAGAGTTGTTTACATTTTAATGCATAATTAATTACATTTAATCTAATTATCAATTTAAATTTATAATTAAACTAGTTTTGAGACCCATGTATTACATGAGTTAATTTAAAAAAAAAAGAAGTTTAATATGAAGGTCTAAATAATTGAGAACTTTGAATTTATAAGAAAATAAGAAAAATAATGAATTATTAACATTGAAATGTTTTTTATCTTTTAAATTTAAACAAATAATTTAAACAAATAATTTAAATAAATAAACAAAAGAAACTAATTAATTTTAATTTAAAAATTTTGAAATTAGAAGGTAAGCTCATTAATAAAATTGATATCCATTTATTACTATATTTATTGTAATTATTACATTAAAATATTATATGGAATTTAATAAAATAGGAAAACCCATAAAATGACATGTGGAAAAAAAACTAATTCAAAATTACAACAAATTGACATTTGTCAAATTGAAGGAGAGCATGCCATGTGGCAAAAAATTTCTTTATTTATTAGGAAGGATACTCGAGATTTACAGTTCAAGTTATAATAAATAGAGTTGTTTACATTTTAATGTTAGAAGCATTTTAATCAACTTTTATACTAATTAGATAGAGGGGCAAAAGAGGAAAGTACAAAAACAGCTACAATTACAAGCAACTTACAAACATAAAAAGGGATTGATACACCTTTGCACCCAATTCAAACTAGACTTGTCCTGGTATGTTTAATCAATATAAAGACAATAGATTTGATGTTATAAGCGATGGGGAGATCCTAATTTGTTTGAAGAGCCAATCATACCTAGTTTTCCTTATCAACCACAATGTACCATATCATATGATTCTTATACTAACTAGATAGAATCATTTTAATCGACTTTATGTGTTGTCAATTAATTAGTTTGTTGAGTAATTATTTATTTTCATTAAATTGATTTTTAAGTAGAAGTGTAAATAATTTAACCCAAGTCTTAGTAAAGGATAAGGGTAATATTGCAAATTTTGGTTCTCTAAGAGCATTGGGTATGGGCCGGTGTTATAACGTCATCTTACATGACACATCAACCTTACATAACACCATGCAAGAAATGGTGTTCCAATGTTATAACTTATTAAGAGGTAGAAAATAAGTAGAGAGAGAAAGAGAGAAAGATGAAGGAAAATGATTTTGATTGGTTTTTAGTTCCCGTTTCAATAAGTGGTAACTGTCACGAGAAGTGTCATAACGAGCAGAAACGAGAAGGGGGGGGGGTGTGTTCCCACGTTATAACGCAGTTTTTTGCGTCCACCCCAGCCACAACGAGCACGAGATGTGCCCACACTGTATCCTCTAATTTGGTTAATTAAACTACCGATAAACGATAGTTGGTACTTATTAAAGGGAAAATACCGCAAATAGACAAAAAAATGGGGTCAATTTCTAAATTTAGTCATAAAAATAGATTTTTCCGAATATAGGCATACATTCCGCGGAGGACCCTCCGCGGAACCATGAAATCTCCGCGTAGAGGGGGTAATCTCGTAAATTCAACCCTTTTTTTTTGAGAAAAATGAAGGGGTCCTCTTTTGGTCCCCACTGGTCCCCGTTTCTCTTCGTCACTCCGCATCGGCTCGCATAGGCGTTCATCGAAGACTTCAAATCCGGCGACGACTTCAATTCCGGCGGAATACGCCGTGAAACGACTTCAAATCCGGTGAAATCGAGTATATAGCACTTGAAATCCATCACCGATGGACCGCGAATTCCCCGATCTTATGGCCGATGGATACGGTTCCCGGGTATTTCTCACATTCCCATCTAATTATTAATGTCGAAAATGTCGAATATGATTCAAATTAGAGGAAAACCCATTTTATTACATTGAAATAGTATACAAATTTAGAATTTTTAGGTTTACAAATCGCAGGAACGATTTTTGGGATGATCCATTCCGCGGAGGGGGACGTCAGTCCGCAGAGGGTGCTCCGCGGAGTGACGTGTTACCTCCGCAGAATGTTATAATCGAAGAAATGCAGGCCTCCGCGGAGGCTAGAGGTCACTCCGCAGAGAGGCCTCCGCGGAATGACCTCTAGCCTCCGCGGAATGACATTAAAAATGGTTTTTGCACAATTTTTTTTTCTGCTTTTGCTGGCTTATTGTTTTGTGTATTTAGTTATATATAAAAAGTATGTTGCTATTTATTTCATAAACCGAATTAGAAAAGTAATTTAGGAATCTTGTTTTTTATTTTCAGTTAGTAATGTTTTAAATGAAATAATATTTTTTTTTGTTGTGTAGCACGAAGATCTCAATCAAAAAGCGGATTTAACTTTGAAAGGCGTGGTGGGGACTATCATTAAAGACTATTTTCCGCGCCTAACACAATTACAACGAGTATTATTCGAAGCTTCCCCCTTTGGAATATCCCCTACTTGTGCATATGATGATGTTGCACGAAGTAAGGTGTCAACAAATATTTGAAATTGGGAGGTTTCTGTTTGATATAGAGGGGATCCAGTTGGGTTTTGGTGAAACTGAATATATTCTGATTTGTGGTTTAAAAGTTGGTCCTTATGTGGATTTACTCCATGACGAAAAGGGCCATTCAAATTCAAATCTCCGTGCTCGGTTGTTCCCAAATATTTCTGATGCACGTTTGCGGCTGAAAGATTTAGAAGACTTGATTATGTCCCCGAATTATTTGGCACTAAAAGATGAAGATGATGTGATGCTTATCCAACTTGTTTTAATGTTGAAGGGTCTACATGGACGGGACGTTAAAACGGGCATTCCTGCAGCAGTATTGAAACATCCCAAAAATACAACCCAAAAATTTTTCGTTTGAAAACTTTACTAAATCATAATATTAAATATTAAAAGATAAATCCATGCATCATGCGTCTCAAAATGTCGTAATAAGTTAATCAAATCAACTGATGTCAAAACATATCAAAATGTCTGAATAAAACTCCCAGGATAAACTGAAGCTGTGGTGTGTGTCATGCCATCATCCCGAGCTCTTCCCCTTACTAGCGGAAGTACCTGAAACCAAAAACTGAAACTGTAAGCACAAAGCTTAGTGAGCTCCCCCAAACTACCACATACCATACAATAACATATAAAGCAACTACTGGGCCTTGCCCACTGCATCGGACCGAAGTACGGAAACTGCATCGGACCAAAGTCCGGAACTATCCAGGGCCTTGCCCTCTGCATCGGACCGAAGTCCGGAACTAACCAGGGCCTTGCCCTCTGCATCGGACCGAAGTCCGGAACTAACCAGGGCCTTTCCCTCTTCATCGGACCGAAGTCCGGAACTAACCAGGGCCTTGCCCTCTGCATCGGACCGAAGTCCGGAAACCGACTGAACATAGCATAGCATAATGATAACTACTAGCATAAGCACATATATTGCATACTGCATCGTACCGAAGTCCGGAACACATAACACAAAGACATGCTTGAATCACAAAGACATCAAGCACACTGAACTACTGCATCGGACCGAAGTCCGGAACTACTGCTAACTAAACGGGCCGGCATTGTGGCCGTAGACCCGTTCCTACTGGAAGGAAAACTCACCTCGTAACGTTGGCTGCTGAGGTGCTAAATCTGAGACAGTCTGACTGCTGCTCCGGAACTCCCCGGCTACAAATCCCATAAACACTAGATCAAAAACTGATACTTATCTCAGGGTAAAATGACTATTTTACCCCTGGTCAAAGTCAACTTCCTGGTCAAAGTCAACCTCCTGGTCAAAGTCATCTTCCTGGTTGACTCTACTCGTCGAGTCCTACTATGAACTCGCCGAGTTCCCGGACTCACACTTCTCTAACTCGTGACTCGACTCGCCGAGTCGGGACGTGGACTCGCTGAGTCCCTCTACTTCCAGATCCTTGTTCTAACTCACTGAGTCCTCTTCCACTCGCTGATTCAACTCATAGTTCCAAAATCGGAGACATCGGGAGGATCTGCGCTCCGACTCGCCGAGTCCAAGAACAACTCGTCGAGTCCTATGCATGTCCTCACTAAACAGTTGATTCTAATCGATTTCAGTGCATCCAATTCATAGATCTGAGCTTCTAGGGCCAATATAACACGTAAAGTTGCCAACTTTACGTGCATGCATAGAGGTATGAAGCTAAAACACCAAAATAAGCTAGAAATGGGAAACTAGGGTTTGGAACAAGGCCTTGCTTTGCATAAAGGTAGCTACTTTGAGCTCCTGGGGCTCAATGATGACCAAATCTATAGCTCACTACCCTAAGGGAGCTCCAATCTCGAGTTTGGACCTTGAAATGTCCAAAAAGTGGCAAAACAAGCATATATGAAGTTCTACTAGGAAAATGATCAAGGTAGAGACTTTATTACCAAATGAAGTAGCAAATGGAAGCTAGCTTCTGGATCTCCTTCTTCTCCTTTGCACCTTCTCTCTTTCCTTCACTTCTACCATTCCAAGAATACACCAAAACACTCAAAATCAAGAAAGAATCACTCAAGCGCACCAATGGAGGCTAGGGTTTTGAGGGGAACGCTTTAAGGGTGTTGGAGGCTGGGATGAGGGCTATAAGGACGTTTAAATAGGGTACAAACCCTAAATGTTAGAGTTTCCTCCTGACTGGCCTACTCGTCGAGTCCAGGCGCGGACTCGCCGAGTAGATCACTTAAAACCCGCGTCCAACCTGGCATCTACTCGACGAGTTAGGGCTACTACTCGCCGAGTAGCTCTTTATAAAAGACTTTTAATAAATTAAGTACGTACTAGGAACGGGGCGTTACAAGTATACAAGCTTGCTGATAATATTGATGATTGGAACATGTATTACTTTTAAAACAGGCATTCCCGCAGTAGTATGCAATGCACTAATTATAATAGATAAATTGAAAATTGCAGGTTTGCATGGGGTACGAATTTCTGGAAATATACTTCGCGTATGATGTGTGGAATCTTTAAGAAAATAGAAGAGTTTAGAGAATTGAAGCAGGCCAATCCCGAATCGAAGAAAGTACACAAGTATACCGTTCCCGGTTTTATGCTTCCATTTAAGGTTACTTTCTAATGCATTTTAATAGTTATCATTGTTTAGTTTTTTATACTATAAAAATTTGAACTTCGTTTTGCATTATATAATAAGTTTGTATCATGACTTTTATAGTATAATAGAACGATACTTAATTTTTTTTCATAGATATGGATTTTGGAGACGTTCCCAGAGGCAACCAAGTTTTATATACGCACGCCTATAGAATTGCCACGGATGAGGGCGTGGAGAAGTAAAACACCGTTATCTTGGGTTCAATGTTGTCAAATAATGAACGTGTATGTGGTATGCTTTTTATATTAACAATCATTTATATTTACAAATTCCAATGTATTTTCATGTTAAACTAACAATCTGATTTTTGCAGCCTAACAACCAACCTATTAATGTCGTGGCAAACCCGGAGGAGCTGATGTTGCCGTTTTATGTTCGTTATGTCAATTGGACTCTTAACCCTGTAGAGTCTCCCCCATGGCAACATAGTCATGTCCGAAATAGTCCACCTCATGTTGCCTCGCCTGCTCGAAGAAGGATGTACAAGTCCGAAATACAAACATCTTCGACTGAATCTGCCACAAATGCTTCTTCCTTGCAACATCTTGAAATAGAAACAAGTTATATGTCAAACGACACATCAAGATTGGTAAAGAAGAAGAAGATGAGCACAAAGGCATTAGTGAAGCGTCTACTAGGCGTTGTGGCTGACTTAAGTTCTAAAGTAGACCGTGTATTACAGAAAAAAGATGAACCAGACACAAATGTTGAACCAGACAGAGGGTTTCGAGAGGAGGAAGAGGTGGAGGAGGAGGAGGAAGAAATGATAAATGAAGAGGAGGAAGAAAAATATTACCATGATACATATTTTGACTATGATGATATAGGTACTCATGGTTTGGAGGGGGAAATTGGGCCTACACCTACGCATGTTGAGCCGTCATCGGACGTGGGTGAACATCACACAAAAGAAATGACTCCTATTGTTAGGCCGCAACGAAAGAGGGGTGTTCTATGGTATCAGCGGACTCCGTTCACAGTGGTACAAAACTCATATTTTAAATTTGGTATATTTTTAAAATATTAACGTATTGATAATTATTTAACATGGTAATTTTTTAGTTGCAATCCACACCAAAAATGAAGAAAATCACCAAAGCAAAGAAAAAAAAAGTGGTGAAGAGTCCTGAAAAAGCAAATGAAGACATTGTGAATGAAGAGAGTATTGATGTTTCAAATCATCTCTTGCTCGACAGTGTTGAAGCTGCCAGTACGTTGAGTTTTTGGAGAGAATGGAATACGATCTCTTCCAACCTAATCACTAAACATAGGCTGTATATGCTCACACTAGATGTGGAGTTTTGGTCGAGGTTACTTGCAGTTACTGACGCTGGGTGGTTAATTTCTTCGGTAACATTCGTTAAATATAATTTTTAACTACATTTTTAGACGATAATTTATAAAAATAACTGTAACATTTTTCTCTTAAAATGTACAGCATATTGCGATATGGAGTGCATTGCCCATGGAAAGACGCCCGACGAACGCAAGGTGGACGATATTCCCTCAAGAACTTAATTTGAAAAACGGAAAAACATATTTTCTTAGGAATATAGCAAATGGTGTCGGAGGCCATCCTAAATGGAAGGATGTAGATATGGTTATTTAAGTTTATTAATTATTTATTTTATATAGGAACTGAATTAATGACTATAAAATTTGTTTTTGTTTGCAGGTTCTATTCCCCATAAACGTTCCTCATGCCCATTGGTTTTTGGCAGTGCTACATTTAGATATTTGGAAAGTACACATTTATGATTCAGTACGATGTATGAATTACTTCACAACGTACTTGACTGGTGGAGAATTCAAAAGTTTTGGGAATAGTATAATCGAAGAGCTAGATGTCATTGACTACTGGAAGGATTTCCCCGATGGACACAAAGACAACGCAGTTGTGGAGTTTATTGATATTGTAGACGCGCCACAACAAGAATATATTACTAATAGAGGGGATTGTGGAGTATTCGTAAGCATGTATATGGAAATGATTGCTTCGGGGGTACCGGTGAAGAGTGATAAGCCATGTAGAGATGCGGGATTTCTCTACAGAAATAGGATGACAAATATTTTTTGGGATACTAAATAACTTGATGTTTGGAAGTTTGTATACATTATTATGAAATACTTGTTTTTAGTAGTTTTGTTTATTATAAAAAACTTTTGTATCATATATTTTTTGAAACATAATTCACCAACATCTATTACGATACATTAAAAAGAAAACAAACATTTGAAATAACATAATAACATTACAGAAAACATTACAAATAAAAGATGAACGACTAACAAACATTATATAGAACATTACGAATAAAAGAGTCGTCTACATGAAAAAGGGTTTATTTCTAACCAGATTCCAAACGTCCGTATACTCGAACTCAGTTTCATCAAACTGGCACAGGTAATATCCGTTCACGTATTCAAGAAGTTCTTCATCATCAGCATCATAGCATCACATTTTCTCATAATTGTAGCATCGATTGTACCATGTGACTTTAGTCTTTAAATCCATGCATTTACTAACAATATCGGGTTTTAGTCGTTGATGTCCTTGTCCCACCTTATAGTTGAACAAAGCTACTAAGCGGGAGCATTCATCACCAAGAAGGCAATTAAGGGGAGCCAATACCGGCAGACCCTCGTAAACGGTAATCCAGCATCGTGTTAGGACCAACACCTCTGTTTTCGTCCATGGAGATGTACCATTTGTTGAAGCAGACGCATTAGACAGATTAGCTGCATTTAAAGACGTTGGTACATTGGATGCCATTTTGTGAAATGATCCCTTACCTCTAATTCGTACATATAGATACGTGCTTTACTATATATAAAAAGATAGGTAACGCGGTCTGACAAGTCAGTAATGCGGAATGACAAGTCAGTAACGCGGACTGACCATTCGCTTTGCGGACTGACAAGTCGGTAACACGGACTTACATGTCAGTAACGCGGACTGACGAATAGCTATGCGGACTGACAAGTCAGTAACGCGGAATGACAAGTCAGTAACGCGGAATGACAAGTCAGTAACGCGGACTGACCATTCGCTTTGCGGACTGACAAGTCAGTAACGCGGACTTACATGTCAGTAACGCGGACTGATGAATAGCTATGCGGACTGACAAGTCAGTAACGCGAAATGACAAGTCAGTAACGCAGACTGACCATTCGCTTTGCGGACTGACAAGTCAGTAACGCGAACTTACATGTCAGTAACGCGGACTGACGAACAGCTCTCTACGGAGTTGAAGGGTCTATATATTGTCATGGATGATCGTTAGATATTTGCGGAATGTCATGTCTATATAAAACGACAAAAAATTATGTATCACTTCATCTAGTCTATTTTAGTTCATATACTTTGTATGTTTTACAATGGGTTCAAACCCATGGACCGCTAACGAGTATTTGTTTCTAACTCGTGCATATATTAATGTCTACGAGAACACCATTTTGGAGGATATAATGTTTTGGGTCTTATTAACGAATACCTTCAACACTGACGCTGAAACCACCATAGAAAACCATCGCAACACGCTTGATATAGCTGCAAAATGGTATGAATTGAAAACAGAAGTTGTGTTATTCAACGATCTTTATAATAAGATTGAAGACGATCGTGTGAATGATACTGAGGAAGACATCTTGGAGGCGTCTAAAGAAGAATACAAATCTATTAGCAACAGACAGAGTTTCGAGTATGAAGCCCCTTGGAATCTTTTGAAAAATGTCCTGTTTTTTTAACTAGTACTGCGTTTTGTATTGTTCTTGCATTGCTTTATTTATATGTAATTTGGTATTTATCCTTTATTTTTTGAAACATAATTCACCAACAAATGTTACGAAACCATACATTCAAATAACATAATCTGACAAACAGGTTACGCGGACTGACAAGTCAGTAACGCGTACTGACAAGTCATTTACGTGGACAGACAAGTAAGTTCTGCGGAACAATGTATACTAATTCCTTTTAAATTGGACAAGAGTTTTCATTTTTACAAGGTTTCTAAAGTTGTGAAAATGAGTTCAGTCAATCAGGTATTAAGAAAAAGTTTCTCCAACCTACCGACTTTTTTCCATAATCTGCAAAGAACCAATCCTAACACCTTCACATACATTACGAAAGATCAGTACAATCATTTCCAAATTTGTTTCATGGCATTGGGATGTGTGGTATGTAATCCCTTAAAGTAAATAAATATTTAGTTATTTCAAGTTGTTATATGCCTAATATTTTTATCTTGACTTACAGATTTGTACGTTTCTCACGTCTATGATACCAATCATATTCGTTGGTCAAGTACCTCTAATTGGGGCGTATGTAAGATCCATGTACATTGCGGTTGCTTTAGATGGAAATCATGAACCCCTTCTCATAGCGTTTGCTTTGGGAACCATAAACCGTGACAATTCATGGTTATGGTTCATGAGGAGGCTTAAAGAATGTTTATGTGACAATACAGAAGTTGGTTTCATAAGCCATATGTCTGATTCCATAGACTTTGCAGTTCAAAGAGTCTACCCTGATTCATATAAAAAATATAGCTGAGAAAATACGCGCTTCCACCGGAAGCAATACAGTCGTAGAGCAGTTGTTCTAGAAGACTTGTAAAGCGTATAATTTGTCTCATTTTTATGCATGTTTGAACAACTTAAAAAATGAGGTTAATGGGAATGATCTTCATTGGCTTGACAATATTCCCATTGCAAAATGGTTACGGGCTTGTTTTCCAAGAGTACGTTTCAATGTTAAATTCATTGACATTCCCGTTGTTGTCAATTGGTTAAGAACAAACATGCATGAGTTTCCAATAACAACAATCATTGAAATGGTCCATGACTCGATGCAAGCAGTGTATCTTCAACGTGCTGCGTTTGGAGGTAATTATAAGTTATGACATCACTCAAATGGTCAATTGATATGTTATTATACGTTATGACATCATAATTTTTGTTTTTTGATTCAGTTCATTTCACATGGGATTTTCATGGTCTTCTAACCCCTTATGCACTTAAGGTGATTCATAAAAGATTTATCCACTCGGATGGTTGTAGGATTACGCATATTGTTGGCGACAGATATGAAGTGAGTAAGTATTCAACAACGAATCTGTCCAATTAGACCGTGGTATTTGTAGTTGCGGTAAATGGCAAAAATGCGGTATACCTTGTGAGCATGCTATAGCTTCACTACAAAGACTTGAAATTGCAGAAATCCAGCAAATGGTAAATTTAAAGTTAAGTACCGCGGTGTATCGAAATGCTTATCAAACTGAGACGGTCAATCCTATTCCAACCCTTAGGCATTGGGAAATACCAGTTGAAAGTGTTGTGGTCTTACCTCCACGACAATTCAATTGAACTGTATTGTATGGATCACAACGAATATTAGTTTGTATTCAGTTCTATGTTAACCGTAGTTGTAATGGTCTGTTGGCGTTCTTTAGTTTTTAATAATAAAATATTTACCTTTAAATAAATAATTGTATTCCCATAATTGTAATGTATGGATGACAACGACTAGACAAACAGCTCTGCGGACTGACAAACATTATTGCAGACTGACAAAAAGCTCTGCGGACTGACAACAGCTCTCTGCGGAGTGGAAGGGACTATATATAGTCATGGATGGTCGTTGGATTTTTGGTATAGAGTTATAATTTTTTTTAAAATTTAAAATGAGTTCATCTTCAACTTTGTATATTTGCTCGTGCAACGAAGTTGATTGTTTCTATTGTGATCCGATCGACCCTTTTCTTGGCCCATCACCAAATTTAAGAGAGTCGTATATGTCTGAGGAGACTTTGCAACAACTACAACTGAAGAACAAAAAAAAAGATAAAGACTCATCTCGAGCTCTCACTGAACGTTGTGACCTCATTGCGGCGGAGTGCAAAGAGGTTGAGGAAAGGATGACGATTACTAAAAAAAATCAAAGATCATGAGGAATGGATAAAAAAACTAAGAAGAATATCAAACTGTCTGAAAAATGGCTTGCTGAAAAGGATGCAGAAATGATAGAACTTGAGAGCCAAAAGGATCGTATGGAAGATAAAATAAGAATTAAGGACGACTACATAACAATGGAGAAAGAAAAGTATCCTTTGCAATTCCCTTAAGTTAATTAATGTTGTTGTACGTTTACTATATGTTTCTGGTTTGTTGAATGTATTATCTTCGAGTATTAGTTATTATTTTACTAGTAATGACGCACTAATATAATCATAATATTACCCATCATCTTTAAAATAAACACACCATTTCAAAGTACACAAATTAATGTCCTCTAAAACAAAACATAATTAATTATAAATACAACATCAATCATTCAAATCAAACGTTGAACAATAGTCTTCTCTCTGCGTCCCACTCGTCCAACGCGTCTCTTGTGTCCCGTGCGTGTCTAGCGTCTCCTGAGTCCCTTCTGTCCCTTTCCCTTTCCCTTTTGTGTTACTACCTGATGCCGCACTACTTTTTGTAGCCTTTTTTTGTTTCTTTGGGACCAATGCCGGACAAGTCGCTGCATTATGTGTTGTACTATCACATCTACTATACCTTCTTACTATAGGTTCCTCACCTTGTGACGGGATACGATTTCTGTTTCTCGGTCTACCAGCTTGACGTGTATCCATTATCGGGGGTTTAACAACCATCATCTCAGCAGGAATCTCCCAATCACACGGTTCTGGAAGGGGGTAAACCGGCTCCTCATACGTACTTCGGTACGTTTCCATTTTGTAAGCATCTATAGCCAGATGTCCGAAGTTAGTTTTTTTTCAAGTGCTTCAAGACCATTATGACATGACCACAAGGCAACCCAGTTCCTTCCCAATATTTGCATGTACAAGTCTCTTGCCTCAGATCAACTATGCCACCATGTTTGAAATCATGCACTTGATATATTGCATCTGAAACACCAGAAACGGACCATCCTGTCGTACGCTCTTCATTTTTACTAACTACTTTTTCAGCCCACTCGGTTAGCACTGTTAAACGTTTCCCTGTAAAGAAGATATATATAATTAACTTATTATTCGACCTAATTAAAGTCCAAATTGAATTCATACCTCCTTCGATGCGACG